GTGTGTGTGTGTGTGTGTGTGTGTGTGTGTGTGTGTGTGTGTGTGTGTTTTCCAGGGATCAAACTTAGGTTGTTGAGATTGTGATGCAAGTATTTTGACCCACTGAGCCAGCTTGCTGGCCCCTCTCCCTTATTTTTGAAGACAGAATCTCTTACTAAACCTGAAACTCATTTGTTGGGCAAGGCTGGCTTCATAATGGGTGCTGGGGGTTTGAACTCAGGTCTTCTTGCTTTCAGAGCAAGTGCTATTACCCACTAAACCATTTTCCCAAACCTTTTTTTTTTTTATTTTTTGAGACAGGATCTCACTACCATAGCCCAGGCTGGCCATGAATTTACTATCCTACTGAGTAGCTGGGAGGACAGACGTGTTCCTCCACTCCCAGTTCCTAAGGGATAAATTTATAACCACTAATGTTATAAACAACACATTACTGACGTGACTCAGTCCATCGTGATTTGTTTGTCAAGGTTCTCCCCCCCCCCCCCCCCCCCCCCGGCAAAAGGTTCCTATGCTGCAGGATTGGTCCTCAGCTGATGACATCATTGAGAGGTGACTGGATCACGGAGCGCTAACATCATCAGTCACAAAGGTGGGGCTTGGTTAGTAGGTCACTAATGACACGTCTTCAAAGGCTACATCCTTCCCGTTCCTGACTGTCTCTCTCTGCTCCCCAGCTACTGGAAGGCAAACACCTTTGCTTAGTCATACCCTCCCACCGTGATGTTCTGCCTCGTCTGCCTCCTCAGCAAAGGAGCAAGCCAGCCAGGGACGGAATTAAGGCAGGAGATACATCCCTAATGGTAGAGTGCTTGCCTTGCATGCATGAGGCCCTAGACTCCATCCTCAGCACTGCTTAATACCAGGAATAGTAGCATATAACTACGCTCTTGGTACTCAGGAGGTAGGGGCAGAAAGATCAGTAATTTAAGGTCATCCTCAGCTACGTGGCAAATGAGAGGTCAGCCTGGGCTATGTGAGACTCCATCTCAAAAGAAAAGGGAAAATAAAAACTTTTTGAAAGCCAAATTATAACAAAACACATATACAGAAAGGAACACTGTTCATGTCACACACACACACACACACACACACACACACACCCGAGTTCCGACCAGTCCAGTGTAAAGCACAATGTCTCCAATCTGGGAATGTGAATGAGTTACACTCAGGCTTTAGGACAGTGAAACCCACTCCCTACAGAGCCCCACAACTCCGACCACCAAACCAATACCCACAGACTGAGTTACCAGAGCCACATTAGGCCAAGAGACTGAATGGTCCACCTCTCCTCTTGTAACCTCAGAAAGCAGAGCAGGAAATAAGAGTCCAGTGGCTTGGGTAGCGGGTAGACTTATCAAAGAGCTCAGTGACCAACCTGTCATAGTAACAACCAGAACCTAGTAGAAGCTGCACTTACAGGACACAGTACATACACACAAGCCCTGCATCAGATGAAGACCTAGAAACTACTGGGCCAGATGTGTGTCTTGGCCTACATCATCTCCAGCTGTGACGTGGTCCTCGTGTATCCCCGAAGCTGTGCATTCCCTGAAGCTGTGCAACTCAAGCATGACCCAGGGTAGCATCAATCTAGGTTGCCCCAGATGTTAGGTGTGTTTCCTTCTTTTGCTCTTTCTTTCTTTCTTTTTGAAAGCAAGGTCTCGTGTCTGAGGCTGGCCTCAGACTTGTTCTGTAACCAAGGGTAACCCTGAGCTCCTGATCCTCCAGCCACTAACTCCAGGATAGGATGCACAGTTTATGCAGTGCTAGGGTATAGAGGGCCAGTGAAGTCCCGAGTGAATGTATTTTGATATGAGCAGGTCGCGTTGAGAGCTAAGGCCTTGGGAACATAAGACATTGGCAAAGCTGGGTGTGGTGGTGCACCTTCTATCTAAAGACATGCATTGTCTGGAATGAAATGGTAGGATAAAATTTTCCATGGAAATGGAATCAAGCAGAGAGTAGTCACACTTCTATCATAAAACAGACTTTAAGTAGCTACCAAAAAAAAAAAATCCTAGGAATAAATATAACTAAAGAGGTGCAAGATTTCCATAATGAAATTTATAAGACATAATGGAAGAAATTGGAAAGGACAAAAGAATAGAAGGACATCCCACATTCTTGGATTCAAAGGATCATTATTGTTAAAATGAACATACTAACTAAAATAATTAATGCAAGCCACATCAAAATTCAATGACGTTCTCCATAGAAATAGAAAAATCATGTGAATGCGTATGTATCTACGTGTGGGTATGGGCATATGGATGAAGTTACCCACAGGAGCCAGAAGAGGGTATCAGATTTACTTTTTGTGCCAGATGTTGCTCTAGGACAGGGTTTCCTGACTTCATCCCTTAATATTCAGGGCCCAAGAATACCTTGTTGGGTATTAGGAAGGAGCTTCTGCTGTGCATCATTTAGCAGCATCCTTGGCTTCTGCCCACTAGATGCCAGTGGTACTCTAGCTTCAGTCACGACAAACAAAAATGTCTTCAGACGTTGCCAAATGTTCCCTGAGGGAAAAAACTGTCCTCACTGAGAAGCACTACCCTGGGAATTGAGGTATGACATGAAGAAGAGTGTCAAGGTCCCTTTTCCCAAGAAGCTCACATTCCAGTTGCAGTACATGCTATAAACAAACTGAAAATTAACCGGATTGCTTGGAGGAGTGTGGGAATTTGTTTAGATTCCTGATCAGGGAAGACCACCCCCAACATGTACCGGACTGACAAGCGAAAAATAAGAAAGATCCCTAGTCAAAGAAGGGGCTATTGGAACAACATTTCCAGGACATCAATCAATGAGCTTACACCCTCTGGGGTAAAGGAACCAAGCAAACAGCATGAACCTTTTGCAGATTTTTTTTTAAAATCAGTATGGGGACTGAACCCAAGTCCTTATACATGATAGGCAAGCTCTGCTACCCTATGCAGAACATCAGAAATAAAATAACCAGGACCAGTGAGACATCTGGTCTTGTGATTGGCAGCACTGGGAAAGAAATAGGCACATGTCCCAAGACTTCATTCCTAGAAGCAGAGCATTACTCTGATGCTATGGAAGGAAAGGTGGGAGGAAGCAGATTACATCGAAGAGACTATTCTGGTTAAGTGGGTTAGGAGGGAGTTTTTGATTGATTGATACACAGATGTATTCCTCTCAG